AAGCAAGATGATCTAATCTAATCTGGCGGTGGGTCAGGTTCCTGTTGCTGCCGACGGCGATGGTACGTCTTTCCGAGGAATGCGTCCATAACAGTCTAAATGATTTCTCATCCCCTTTTTTGAAAATAGACTTTTTTGGAGGGTCCCTTAATGGTTGTGTAAAATGTACAAAAACTCTTTGTACAGAGGACCATGCTTGTATACTTTTGATTTTATACTTAATACAATATACTTTACCTTTCAAAAAGAGGAGTAAAACTCCATAGGTCTAAAGGATCAGTAAACCATGTTTTTACAGTTCAAGTTTAGCCCAGATATCAGAAGAAAACAACCTACAGCTCTTCTATCCAAACGAGGCTTCTGTTCTCATTACATTCATGCCAGACTTTGTTGATGAATCATTTGACCAATCTTAATGCACACCTTTCCCAGAAGACCTCCTTAAAAAATACTTACTCGCCATATAACAAATAAGCATATGATAGGAAACCTTTGCACCAGAATAAGACAAACACTTAAGACAGATTCCAGGAAGCTTGACGTTTTACTCTTGATTCATTTGAGAAGATATCAATTTTTTCCATAGACATCAAAAGTGTGGTACAAACATTTCGAGTAGATCTCTTTCTTCTTCTCTTTTAATTCTTTTTTCCTTTAACAAACAATGAAATAAGATGAAACTCTTAATGTTTGATGTTCTACTTTTGAATTATTTAGTGGCACTCCAGACATAGAACTAGAAAATGTAAGACTCTAAAGTCTATCTACCAAAAATCCCTGCAAAGAAGCAGATAGATAAATATCAAATGATATACCTACGGTACAACGAGTTTCCTTGCCACAGGTTGCTTGCTCCTGTTCCTTTGATATTGCCACGAGATGAATAAACATTACCAGAGTTCAACAAAGCTGCTCAGACTGTAGACCAATTTGCAAGGATGTACTCATAGACAAGATTGGTAGGTTTAAAAGAGGGAGGAAAAAGAAAATGTATGGTACTAAGGGAAACAAATTGGAAAAAAAAAACAAAGTATAGATCAGTTTTTCATTCTTAAAATTGAGTCATCATTATCCATCAGCACTACTTAGGGGTGCAAGTCGGGCTGAGATAGATAACCCGAGATGTTGAACTCCAAATCTATGGATCCGTTTCTGGTTAGCTTAGTTTTTTCACTTCTTTTTGTTTCCAAGGAAAAACATTCTCACTTCTTAAACTTCTTTAAATTTAGGACTGACTGATTGAATAGAATCTATGGATCCGTTACAGAACACCCCCTTAGTTCGATGGGTTAAAAGTTTCATTATTTTCATGTGTTTATCCATCAAATCATGACAAATAACTTGGAGATTTTTTTCCCTTTAAGAGTTTTCATGATCGTATTCACGGTGAAATGAATCATTCCTGCTTCCTAGTAGAGCTATCAATTGACTCCAAAAGTTTGGACCTATTGTCATTATTGTTGATTTTTTAATGCATGTTTTAAAAAAGCTTTTATTTGTTCTAATGATTTGTGGGACTTGTTACCCCTCATCTTGTCTAACTCCTTATATTCTTATAAAAAAAGCATGTCTTAACATTGCAATTGGCCTATTTAAAATGGTAAATGCAGAAAATAACATTATAAGACTTGGACAAGACTCAAAACCATAATGTTCGATGAGTCACAGGTCATGAGATGTGACTAGTAAAGTATTTATAATGGATGGTAAGATGGCCTCACTTTTGATACAATTGACTAGGGAATATATACAAGGATAATATATGGTGCTTTAGGAGCACCATACTTACGTTATACTAAAACATCTTTGCCTTTAAACTTAAAGCCATTGATACATATGCATACATACATGCATATTTATATGATATTTATATATGAAAAGGTGAAGACAAGTTACCTGGGATGGGTTGCCCATGGCTTTGACCTCAACCCAACCCAAAGCTAATTCAGGTTTGGACTAACCCAGCCCAAGTTGCCCCCATAGCACTACTAATAATTTTAATTTTGAACAGGAAAATAAGGGAAAGAGTAATCAAATGCAAATTTGAACAAACAAATTAAGGGTTAGCAGCAAAAAAAAGGCAACATAAAATGGATAGATACATGGTGCAGCTATGGAATTAGACAAACCAACTAAAAAATGTTTCTAGAGATATAATCAAGGAAGCCATTGTCAAATTTTCACGGTTGGATCGAAAAAACCAAGACTGATCATTGATTTCTTTATTAAAAGAAAGAATTACGAAATAACACTTACCTGAAAATAAAAACATGTATTGCAATAAACAAAGCCTGACGAAGCAGTTGCACAATAAGAGGGAATTCACGAAAAGAAAGATGGGAAAAAATATAAACAAATTCCATACACAATATAGACCAACCAGGAAAAAAACACTTGCCTCCAAAATGCAACTCATTTAGAACATGAAAAACAAAATCAAACCCAACCAAGAAAGGAAATACAATTGTTTGTTCTAACACTAGTATACTACAACTAAAGGCAAAAAGAATAGTCATTGGATAATAGCCATAATAAGTCTGAATTTGTGATATTTTGGGTCATTGAATATCATGAAAAACAAGTACAAAAAAAAGGAGATACAAGATTTCCCCATCACATGTGACCATCACTAGACCCTACTAGATGTCACTTATTTTAGAAGTGAGGAACATGCAGTCATGATAAACTGATACTTCTAGTTCTTAGTTTATTAATATAAAAGAACACGCAAAAAAAGTCATAATGGACACATCTTTATCTACTTCTTAATTCTACGGAGTTTCTTGGGCCCCCAAACCTCCATCCTACCGGCAGGGCATCCACAAGGTGCTCTAAAGATAAGAACCGTGCGGCCATTCAATGGTGCCATCCTTTTCAGTTCTGCTTCCAGTTCCTTGTGATCCTGCCCTAATTCCAGAGGCCTGATACCATATGTGTCCTTTGGTACGGGAGGCAAGTACTTCACGCACTCTTCTGATTCAAGCTGGATATCAAACTCTACTGCCTTACGAAGTCCCTTGCAGTAAGGATTCCCACACTTCCTAGATTTGTGATGGATGATCTCCCACGCAGCAATCACCGTAACGAACGTTACAACCAATCCAACCACATAAGCAATAGGTGCATCATACATAACATTGCCAATGAGGATATAAACTGCGGGAAGAAGCTCAGAGGCTCCACGGAAAAGGAATTTGAAGTATGGAATAATCAGAAACCCCAGCGCTCCAAGCACCAGAAGAAACAAAATGATGTCAATAGCAGCAAATGGCGAGTGGTCGCAAAGAGGATGGGACAAGAGGTTTAAGGAACTGTTGTGCTTCTTGCTACGAGAATGATTGTGATTGCTCTGATCCGACATGCCTAAGGAATTTGCCATGTTCCGGTGCTGCTCAAAAGCCTTGCAAAACTCGATCAAGCTACGGCAATCAACCATTGGAAATTTCAGGAAATTATAGGACAGTGAGGAAGGGGAAGATGAAAACAAAAGGCTTCCAGATTCTCTAGCTTAAAAATCCCGTGGGCCGTGACAGTCAACTCCTTGATCTAACAAAATGCAGCAGTAACAATCTGAGAATGTATTATTCAAATTCCTTGATCACTCAGAGCTTCAGTGCCGGTCGTGAATATTGAATAATTGTCCAGGTATATGAAGCAAAACAGCAGAGAACTTGAATGAAAATGTGAATCCAAAACCGCAGAGAACTTGTATGCAAAAGACGAAAAATTAGGAATACACGACATATAAATCCCGATTTGTCTGTCCAAATTTTGTCAGTTCGGATCCTTTCCTAGTTGAGATGAAGTAAAAGCAATCCAAAAAAAAGGTTGGTCGTCGGATTGAACAAATGACTATCTCTGACAATACGAATATCCACCGATTCAAAGACGAAAAAAAAAGGCTTCAGATAAACTCAACCGAATGACCATCACCGACAGATCTCCCTATCACATAGCTCCAGATCGATGACGAGAATCTCAAAAAAAAAAAAAAAACACTGTGGTAAAGAAGATGTCAAAGAACACCTGATGCAAATGAACTCAAAACTTCCGCCTCTTCGAAAATTTCAGCAACCAATCCAATCGGGCTCGATGCGTGAAGCCAAATTCACAGATCTTAACACTTACAAATTCTCGATTTCCTATATCCCGAAGGAAAGACCTATCTAGATTACAGACCTTCAAACTTTCAAAGTCTTAATTTCCACGATCCCGACTGAAACTCTGAAAGGCCTATCCAGATTTGATGCCATTAATATCATGTGCGTGTGTGTGTGAGAGAGAGAGAGAGAGAGAGACAGTTCTCTTCTTGCAGAAAATAAATTCACTTCAGAATGACGATAACGATTTAAAAGAAATGCGTTGATTTATTTGAGCAGCAGAATTTTTTCCTAGTGCACCCGCCCATCCACCCACACGATTCACGCCAATATGAGATAGACTGGAAGTGGTCCGGATCTGCTACAATTTTTTCTTACAATTCCACTCAGTCTGTAACAGGTGTCCACTTATACACGTGTAGTAGGACATCTATAACGGACTGAATGAAAGTGTATGAAAAACCCGGAGAAAAAAGTGCAGGAGATCCGTTTTCTGCTCCAATAAATCCACGAATCCCAGTCCCAGATCCAATGGAAAGTGTAGAAAAACACGAAAGCACCCATCTTACGCAACGAGAAAACAAACGAATCCGGAATTCCCATCCTACAGTTGCCCTTTTGTTTTGTTTCGGTGAAATCGTCCTTCCTTGATTTATAAAGGACACGTGTGTTCCACTGAAGGTCAACCGAATCCACTCAAGGCAAAAAGTTAGCCCGATCAACAGGAGTATCTTCGCTCATTCCGCGTGCCTCCGAGCACTTTATTTCTTGACACGTAAGCCGTTTTCACGTTGGAACGAAAAAAATAAAAGAGAAATTTTCTAAAACTCATTATGAGTTTTCAACACTTCTCTTAAATTTATCACAATTTTTCAAAATGTCTAAAAGTCATCATAATTGTTTGACGTTAAATAGATTAATGGGCGTTAATATATTACTATTTTAATTTTTATAATAAAATATATATAAATAAATTAATGGGTGTTAATATATTACCATTTTAATATTTATACATGAAAAATAGAAAAAAGTTCAAAAAAATATTTTCAAATATAAAATACATAAAAATGTAGAAATTATAAAAAAAATATAAAAATTATAGAAATTGAAAAACAAAATCAGAAAATAAAAATTGTAGAAAAAACACCAAAAATTTATAGATTGTAGAAAATATAAAAAAATATATAAATTATAACAAAACATTAAAATGCAAAAAAAACAATAAATTCGAAAACTGAAAAAGACCACTTTTCCTCTAACTCACAATTCAAGGGTAATTTGGTCATGAAATTTGTTATTTATGCTGACATGAACACCTCTGTTAAGAAGCACAAACGGTACACTAATAGAAGGTGCCTTTTGGAAAATAAAAACTTACTAACATTGTGAATTTTAAACATTTTGAAAAGTTGTGGTGAGTTTAAGAGAAATGTTGAAAACTCATGATGAGTTTACGCTCTTTCTCTTAAACATACCCTCACTTTTCAAAACCTTTGGATACCCCCTCAGAAATATGCCCTTCGAAAATAAGGTGAGGAGAGATTGCATAGGTCAGGCTCGGCATAGAAGATTTTAGTAATTAGACCTTTAGAAAGGTCTCCCAATTTAATCTGGTATTACTTCATTGATTATGATTAAGACGGAGGCACGTTTGTTTTCTCATGAAATCATTTAATTAAGTAAATGAAATTATCGAGTAAATTTGTAAATGTTTATTGGGAAAAACTTACCCCCAGTCACTGAACTTAGGGGGTGTTTGTTTTTGAATTTCGAGAGGGGGAAAATTGGTCAATGGGATTTTGATTTCCATTGATCAAGAAAATCATGTTCTTTTTTCACATTTATTATGCGGGAACTAGGGAATAAGTGATACCCATCTCTAAAAGGTGGGTAAATAACTTTACGAAAGTACTTTTGTGAAAGTATTTTTATGAAAGTACTTTTACAAAAGTACTTTTATGTACGCACTTTTATGAAAGTACAAAAACACTTTTACAAAAGTACTTTTATAAAAGCACTTTTATGAAAGTACTTTCACAAAACATCTATGTCAATTGGTAAACATTGACTATTGGAGACCTAGGTTGGCGGTTCATGAATACCAACACAATTTTTTTTGAAGAATGAAATGAGCAACATAGGAAACTTGTCAGTTTGAAAATAATTCATTTTTAGAAAAAAAAATTTGGTTCATAGCAATATTTTCTCATTCTACCTATTTTTATCCATTATTTTCCATTTTAGAATTTCATCTTGAGTAAGAATGAAAAAGAATGAGAATTGAACCAAACATGGCCTAATGGCCCACTAAAAAATGAGGCTCATTCTCTTCCATTCACAGAATTAACAGCAAAATAAAGTGATAATGCCCACCTTCGATAGTCATTGCAACACCACCCCTAATTGTGGGGGAGATAGAGGGATCCATGGTTTTTGAACTGCCATTGACATGGATAGTCAGACCATTTGGCCCGGGAGCTGTTCAGGCAACCAGTTCCATTTTATCCCAAACCCGTTTTTGGCCTAAATCCGTTGTATCGGTCAACTACTCATTGATCCGAGCAGTCAAGCAATCAACCCATTTAATAGTTTTGGCCTTTTTTGTTTTAATTATTTTTTATTTTTTATTTTTTTATCAAAATGAGCCATTCATTCGGACTAGATGGTCGAATCGTCAACCCAAAAACTGATGGCTAGAACGGTTCCAGTTTCCGAGTCATTTATGAAAATATTAGAGGGATCTATATTAAAAAAAAGGAAAATATAATTACACGTATAGCTTGTCTCACCAGTTCAGCAAACTCTCCAAGTGAGGGACCCGCAACCTTCACATTGACGGTATTAGTATTGGTAGTGATGGAATACCAAAAACATATGTTGTCGCATTGCCATATAACCTGTCATGTATCCCACTCGCGTCTAGAGGGTTGAGGAATCAAATCCACTCAGGCACCCACTAGCCACTATAGAAAATGGATCCAATTTTGCAAGAAACTTAGACAGGAAAAATCATAGCACACTTTACAGCATTCATTCAGGTGATGGTAATGGATTAGCCATGGTGCTACTTATAAAGAGGCCTTGAAAATATGTACAAAGCATAAGATGAGGCTCACTTTTGTTATTTTCACTGCCTTTGATGAAATTAATCTATACGGTGTTTGGAAGCGTGGGTGCTTTTTGGGACTGATTTTCAAGAAAAAATGTCCATGCTTTCAAGACCCGTTTTTCACAAAAAAAAAAAAATACTTCTGCCACGTAGGTAGTGAGCAACAATATGCTGGTTGGTAAGGTGATTTTCATCACCGTTTTTTATGTATGTGTTGACAGGTAAGCACCACATAGGATATACATCAGTCAACCATTGGGGGAAACGGTTCACCAATTAATGAAACATCAAACTTGGCATTTCATGCATCGGTGGGTCCCGATTTTTTAGACATGCCCGATTTTTTAATAATCGGTTGAACACCCCCCTAATGATCTCATGCCTGTTTTTTTAACTGCTTATTTAAAATGAAAGTTTCCCTAGGCTCAGTTTTGCTTTGACATATTTTTATTTGCAGTCTTCCGAAACTGAACTTTAGGCTTCTTAGTTACCTTTAATTGTCAATTTATTCGGTGATGTTAATTTTTATTAATTTTGTTTTCCATATTAATTTTTATTTTCATTGTGTAGGATAAGTGAATGACTGTTTCTCACTTTCTTGTAAAACTTTAAGTGGTGGTTTGATTGGAAGTTGGTCGTTCAACATATGATTGCTAACAGATAGGTTTGGATCAGGTCTAGGTAGAACCAGTTCCGAACTAATTATTAATCGAGACAAAATTATAGCCATAGAACTATCATTGTCAACTTAAAATTTAAGCTTAAATAACTTATGTTAATAACCAAAAATATATAATATTGGAAACTATATAATTTTTATTTAAATAGCAACTTAAATTTTAAACTTTGATAATATAACCATAACAAAATTCATAGAAAAATATCCAATTATTTATGTGCTAAAAGATTAAATACTTTTAACTAATATTATCTATCAAATTTGCCATTTTAAAAGAAAATTAAGAAAATATTATATATAATTAATAAATAATCGATCTTGGTTCTAAATCTATTCAGGATAGGTGATAACATGAACCAACCTAATTTGATTGTCATTTCTCATCCGTATTAGCTTTCTCTTTTGATTGTCTTAGTGTTAGTTATTTGTTTGGACTATATGTGTATATGCAAATTGCTCGAGATATTTCGTATTTGGGAAAGGGGTTGCTAACTCTAGGACCTTACCATTTTTACTTTAGCTATGTTTTACCATGTGCCCAATGTATTTGGAATGGGCAAAATTCATTTGAATCTTATACCCCTCTCTTATATCTAATTTCATTTAATATTTAGCTTTGCATAGTTATATATATAGACGTAAGGCTAATTAATTTAAATTTTTTATAATATCAATTTACTAAACTAATCAGTTTAAATGTTTAATTATTCTATCGATTTACTATGACCAATCAATTTAAAGGTTTTGTGATTGTATCTATGACTCTCTCTCTCTCCCCAAAAGTAAGCATATTTGTTCTTTCATTGGAGTTGTTTTTAGTTCTTTTCATGCTATTTGACTGCTTTTGTATTAATAATTGGGTTCTCCTTAACTGTTATCTTATTTGCTCCGATGCGACAAGTGCGTGCTTGGGAGATTGATCTAACCCTACCTTCCATGGTGAAGCTGTGGAATCCAACTTGAGAATGCCTCTAGAGTTTCTTTTTCGATCCATAGTACTTGTTTTGTGTCTTTGGCCCTTTCCTCGTTAACATCCCTTAAATTTCCTCCACTTGCCAATTCCATTATCACTTTCACAGTTTGCTATTCATTTGCAAATGCATCAGTGGTTGTTCTTATTTTGATTTCTAAATGCTTAATGAATTTCCTTCTTCTTTTCATTGTATTGGATGAGTGGGTAACTACTCTTTTCAAAATTTTAAGCATATAATATAATAAAATTATAAGAAAGTTAAGAATATATTATATATAATTCATTAAAAAATCGGTTTTGGGTGTTAATTGGTTTGGGACAATGAGAACAAGAATAGACTCAATTGTTAGTTCGAAAAAAAAAACCATGAAACCAGAGGTGTAACAATTGGTTTGGTTTATTCGGGTGCATTGGGTAGATCCAACACATTGACAACCCTAATTCAACAATAAGTAACAAGGTTAGACTTAGTCCATTTATCGCCCTAAAATGAATTTTTGTCTTTGTTGTCTTCTCTTTATCCATGTTAGACCCCCAAATGGATATTTTGCCTGTTGAAATGACATCATCTAAGAGACGAAGTGTTGCCTTGTTGTCACAATGTAGTTGCATAGGTGATGAAAGTTGAATGGTGAGATCAACTAAGAGACGTCGAAGCCAAACTAATTCAGTTGTGATGGAGGCCATTTCCCGGTATTCCGCCTCTATCGAGGAGCGAGAAACAGCCGTTGCTTCTTGGTTTTCCAAGATAAAGGAGATGAGCCGGGTAAGGTAATGTAGCCAATGGTTGATCATCGGGTGACAGGACAACTAGTCCAGTCAAAATTGGTGTATCCATTTAGAACAAGGCTACTATTGTTCGGAAGGGATATGCCATGCAATTGGAGTGCCTTTGAGATACCAAACAACACATAGGGCAGCATCAAGGTTCTCTTGACGAGGTTCATGCATGTGTTGACTGAGGCGGTTTCCAACAAATGAGAGGTCAGGCCTGGTGGCTGTGAGGTAAACTAAGCGGCTCACCAGTCTTCGGTATGGTGATGGATCGGACAGGGTGGGGCTAGAAGTGTCATCAAAATGGCATTGGGCCTCCATGGGTGTTGGTGAAGGTTTGTGATGTGTGCATAATTTACATATAAATTTTTATGTTTATGCTTAGTTTTTTTGCTGATTTGTGTCAAGTTTTCCCTAATTCAGTCTAATTTCAAGAAATCTTTAAGGGAAACCAACTTTGGAGAAAAAGAGCATAAAACAAAGGAAAAAGGAATTGATTTGAAGGAAATCCAACCCAGCTAGAACAAGAACCCAGCTGAGAAGTCAAGAGAGGGTCATTCGGCCCAGAAAGCCCATGCTGCACTCTTGGGGAAAGCCCAAAGAGAGAGCCTAGCCGCAGCCTTCCAAGGAGCCTATTCGGCCCAGCAAGGAGGAGGCCCATGTGCAACCCATTTGCAGCTCCTAAGCAGCCCAAATTGCAGCTCAAGAGAAGCTAGGAGCAGCAACTTCTAGAAGGCTCAAGAACAGCCCAATGTGCAGCCCAAAGGCTCAAGAACAACCCATTCGGCCTAGCCGCCCCTAGCTTCTTTGGGCTGCAGCTTCTAGAGAATTCAAGAAGAGGCTAGGGGCAGCTACTTCTAGAATGTTTAAGAGAAGTTAGGGGCAGCTTCTAGAGAATTCAAGAAGAGGCTAGGGGCGGCAGCTTCTAGAGAGTTATTGGAGAGCTATTTAAGGAGGTCTCTAGGAAGGGAGAAGGGGTCCAACATTTGATCTCAAACTCTCCTTGAGTTATTGAGTTCGAATTCTAAGAGGGTAGAAGAGAGAGATAGGCGCAGGAGAAGGAGAAACGAGCAGCTTCAAGAGAAGAAGAAGCTGAGTTCGAAGGGGGAGAAATCAATTGGATATCAATGTTTCATCCTCACTTGATTTCTGCACAAATTGGTAATCGAATTCAACTAAGATTTATGTAATTTCTCCATCAAAATTTCCTCTCTTGCTGTAATAAAAGCTTGTATTATGTAAATTCAATTATGTAATTTGTTTTCTAAGTTCATTCGAGTAAAGTAGATTCAATCTTGAAGTTTCTTGTATGAAAATTCAATTGTGGACTGTTGGCCGAACTGCTATTCTGAAATCTCAGATCTGAAATTTCAGATCATGAATTTACAATGTTTGAATTGCTATTTTGCAATCTCAAATCTGTAAATTCAGATCATGAAATAGTGAGATCCGAACTGCTATTCTCTAAAATCATATCATGAACTTGTAATACCTGAATTACTTGAGAAATAATTCAAGTAGCTTTAATTCAGTTTGGCCGAATTGTTCATCTTTCTTGGAATTCCTAGAGTGCTTGAGAAAGACTCTAAGATTTCAGATCTGCCAATCAAKAGCCGAATTGAGTGCAAGGTTAGAGATAACTTGCACAATTCGGTTGGTGTTCATTCAGCTGAGTTGATGATCATCCAACTGAAATGAAGCCCTATAATTGCTAGATCTAAATGCATGCATGGTGATTAGATCATTGATAGAGATATAAGTACCATCACTTATGCATAGATTGAACATGCGCTCGAGAGAAGGTGTTCATTGCTTTCGGATTTCACCAAACCAAGGTTGAATCCTATTCTACTCGAATTGCCTATAAAACTAGTTGCTGAATTTATTTTTCTATGCATCTTTAACTTGTCTCCTCAATTGCATACAAGGTGTTTGGTCCAATGTGTTAGAGATAGCTTTGTAGTTAGAATTTCAGATTTCCATTAGTTTTACATTTTGGCTGATCAGATAACAGTAGACTGATTTGTTACTAGTAGTTGCTACATAAGTCCTCGTGGGAACGATACTCTACTCACTACTCTATTACTTGAGCGGCTAGTGCACTTGCTAGTGTTACAAAGACATATCAGTTTGCAGTCTTGCATCCCAGTATCAAGAAGAATATCAATTATGTATTTATGTTGACTAAGAAAGATGCGATCAACAAAACGGTGGACTTCAAGGCCCAAAAAAAAAACTTTGGGGGCCAAAATCTTTTATTTTAAACTTGTCATCCATGATCTTCTTGAGAGTTGTGATGCGTATAGAATCATTTCCAACAAGGAGAACGTCATCAATATAGACTAGTGCAGATACGAAGGAGTCACCTGATGTCAATGTAAAGAGAGAATAGTCGGCATGAGATTGCTTGAAGCCCAAAGAGAAAGGTTTGAGTAATTTTTTCAAACCACATGTGAGAGGCTTGTTTAAGGCCATAGAAGGATTTTTGCAATTTGCAGACTCTATATTCTCCTTCACGGGAAAATCCTTGAGGAATGGTCATGTGTACTTCCTCATGAAGTTCACTATGTAGAAAAGCATTATTAACATTGAACTGATGAATTTCCCAATTTCTTATTGTAACTATTGCCAAGAGACACTGCATTGTGACTAATTTTGCTACTGGGGCAAAAGTGTCATGGTAAACCAATCCTTCAACCTAGGTATAGCCCTTGGCAACAAGACGAGCTTTGAACATCTCGATGGAGCCATTTGCTTTGTATTTGATTTTATAGACCCATTTTGAACAAATTTGTCATTTTCTTGGAGGTAAGTCCACAAGAATCCAAGTATTATTGCGCTATAGGGCTAAGATTTCATTTGCCATGGCTTGACGCCATCGAAGATCACTATTGGCTTGAGTAAACGTGGTTGGTTCAAATTCTATCTATGGAGAGACAACCTGCAGGGTCTTGTGAATAGAAGTGGACTGATGTGCCAAAAAAGTTGGTAGGTTAATGACATAGTCTTGGAGGTGGGTGGGGGGCCTGGTTGAGCGCTTCGGCTTGGGACGATACACCTATGGTATCGCACTGAATGTTAACAATATTAGGCGGTGCAACAGATGGTTGATTGCTGGTTATGGGTTGGGGATCAACGAATGATGGACTAGGTAGTGAAATGGGTTGTGTTTGGTCAAATGTTTGCATAATGGTGGGTTGGATTTCAGTTTGTGTAGGTTGTGGAACAACTATGTCGTCAAATGTGAGGTTTGGGGGAAAAGGAGCGGTTCAAGGATGGTGGTGGGAGGTTGTTGGTTCTTGAAAGGGAATTGAGACTCATAAAAGATGACGTTTTGTGCAATAAACAATTGGCGTGACTCAAGGTCATAAAATTTGTATCCCTTTTGGCTATAGGGATATCCTATAAAGGCACATCAAATGGCTCTAGTAGAAAATTTATCATGAGGTTTGGGGTGAACTTGTGCATATCATAGACACCCAAAAGATTTAATGTAATCATAACAAGGTGGTTTTTGGAACAAGACTCTGAGGGTGACTTGTTTGAGAGCAAAGGGGTTGGTAAGTGGTTGATAATGTAAACCACGGTTTGTAAACACTCACCCCAAAATGATATAGGCATGTAGGCATGGAAGCGGAGCGATCTGGCAATTTCTAGTAAATGGCAATGCTTATGTTCAGCGACGCCATTCTACTGAGGCGTATCAACACAATTGCATTGAAATTCAATCCCTCATGCAACAAAAAACTCTTGCAAGGGGCGTGAATAGAATTCAAACCCATTATCTGAATGGAGAACTTCGAGTGTGTATTCAAATTGCCGAGGGACCACTGCGCAAAATAAAAGTAGAAAAGATACAACATTTGATTTATTACGAAGTAGATAAATGCAAGTACATTTTCTAAAATCACCGACCAATGTAAGGATGTATCAGGCTCCACTATGAGATGGTCTCTTATAGCCTCCCCATATGTCGTAATGGACTAATTGAAATGGCCGATAAGACTTTGACTGGTTGATAGGAAATGATAGCCGATAGCTGAGTTTGCTTGGCTCAGTGACACGCATCACAACAATGCTCTAAAGAGACAAGAAGTATCTCAGAAATGAAAGACAAGCGTTTGTGAGATGCATGTCCCAAACGGTGGTGCCATGTTGCGGAATTTGTGGTGGAAGTGACGTGAACAGATGAATGTTGAGTCTTTGTGAATGAGAATCAGTAGAGTCCATCGTGCAAACTCCCCACCCCAATGTTGAGTCTTTGGTATTATTTTGTATGTATTTACATTGTATATATTTGTATTTGTGCTACATCCAATATGAGCTAAAGGTTTAATTTGATGGGATATTTTTAAGAATTATTGGATTTGGATTGATAATTTAAGAAAAACAATTTATTAAGAGAAAAGGGGAATGAAAAAAAAATATAGAAAGTTTTGATGGATATTTTGATAATTTAATGTATTTTGTTATCTCGCTTAAAAGCTAGGGGTCTTTGTCTAACAGATAAGGAAGTTTTTGTTGAAAAAAAAGTTAGTGTTTTTGTCATTATTCATTAACACCATAGTAAAGAGGGCTTTTGTAATTTACAAAAAAAGGATTTTTCGTGTGATGGTCTGGACGTGATGCCAAGGCAGGGTCTCAGGCCGCAGCGGAGTGCTAAACTCCTTTGAGATAACCATCCTTGACATGACCATCAGGTTCGTCACTGCAAAAGAGTAGTCGTAGTTCCGTACATTCTCTCTCTGCACCTGCAATAGCGTAAGGAAACAAAACCTAGAAAAATAAATCTGTAACTCCGATCAATTTGCAACCCCAGAGACATCGATTCCTGTAGTGTTGAATGATCGGATTTTCTCGTTTCTTATTTTGTTTGTCAAGTTTACCATGGGAGCCAGTCGAAAACTTCAGGGTGAGATCGATCGAGTTCTGAAGAAGGTCCAAGAAGGCGTTGATGTCTTCGACAGCATCTGGAACAAGGTATTTTTTCTGAGACCGAGACACAATCATTTTATAATTGGCTTCATTTCGATGATCGTCCAACACACTTCCATCTCTAACTCCTACTATGCTTTTATTTCTATTAATTATTGTTATTCTTTTAGGTTTACGACACGGATAATGCGAACCAGAAAGAGAAATTCGAGGCGGATTTGAAGAAAGAAATCAAGAAACTGCAGAGATACCGAGACCAGATCAAGACATGGATACAATCGAGCGAGATAAAGGATAAGAAGGTTAGATTTTGACACTCTTTTTTTTTTCTCCTTTCCTTTATATAGCATTTTGAAATTCAAATTAATGAATGCAGTTGGATGGGAATGAAAATACATACATAATGGTTGCAACAATGCTTGGCTAACACTTACTCATTGCATTTATCGTCAAAAAAGATGGAGCCTTACACCCTAGAGATTTCGTGGTATTTAGTTAGGTTGGGATGCTTTACACGGTGAATCAAAAGTTTTGTCCTTACGAGTAGCGAATAAAGGACGTGATCACTCATGCTCTCCCCACCAAAAAAAAAACTCTGAAAGGCAATTAAGGTATGCCAATCGTGGTTGTCCTTTTTGTTAGTGCAATGGATATTAGTTATAGGATGCACCTGTTTGTTCTTGAAATTATATATTGTGTCAAGAACCAATGATTGTATGAGGAACATTTGCTGTGGACAAGATGGAGAGATCTCAGAGCTTTGAAGAGGCTACACGATGGAGGAAGGCCATGAAAGTGGAGGCTAAAGACTTCATTTTCGAGGAAATAAGAATCAGAGGGTGTCACACCATGAAGATAAGGGAATCTAAGAAGGCTATAGTGCTGGTGGAAGGCTTAGAGATGGTAGAATGGTTTAAGGATTTTTTGAGTGAAGCAGCAACAAAAGGAAAACAGTGCTGTTGGAAGGAAAATCACATAAAGTCATGTAGAAGATATGTAGTGGAAAGTAAACAGAATGCAATAGGGCTGTTCATCTCCCTAGCAGAGTTCTTTGATAAGGAATGAAACAAATGGTCTGCTTTCCTGCCGGCAAAAACAGCCAAGGGTGGCAAGGAGTGATTAAGATCTTGGCTGCATTCATGGGTCGAAGAAGTCTACAGATGGAGAAAAAGGAAACTGCAGAAGAAGATAAGGGATTGCTTGCTGAAAACTCAGCAAGCAATGGAAGGTGAGAGTCTTACCCAAGGCTTTATAGCCATGGCAAACAGCAACAGTAACCCGTTATTGAATGTAAACTCCAGTAAAGATCACTGGATTAAAATGTTAGTGGTTGAAGCTAAGAATCTGATTAAGGATTGGAGGATGTTTGCTGATATCTTGGTTTGCAAGTTGGGATTGAGGAAGACATTTATATTAACTCCCTTTGACAGTACGAGCGCAGTATTGGATCCTCTTGAAAACTTGGTGGAAGTTTAGGCTTTAAGCATTCAAAAGGACAAGGGATCCTTTATTTTGTATAAATGGTCTCTTTCTTCTAATTCAAAATCTTATGCCGGTGAAGATGGAGTGATAGTCAGGCTGATTGTGTTGCCTTTCCATCTTTGGAAACATGGTGTAGCTGTCTCCATTGCTGCATTATGTGGAGCTAGTCTTGTTGGGGAGACTTGTGCTCTGCTGCCTTGTAGTTGAATGGAGTTAAACCAGAGGACATTCCAAGGAAGATTACTATTTGAGTTGAAGGATTGTGTTTACAGGTGTGGCTAGTTTCCTCCATTGAAGCTTCTCTATGGTTAGAGGCTAGATAGGAAGAAGATGAGTCGGTAGAAGCACAAGCTCTACTTGGCAGTCTAGGATTGGAGAATCAGAGGAAGATGGAATGTTTTACTAAAATGGACAAGCACAAGTTCGACCATCCAAAAAATATGGGTAGAAAAGATGGTCAAATATGTGAGATACAAGGTAAGGGTCAAACAACAGAAAGATCCTTTGCTCAAGTGCTAGTGTCTTGCGCCAAAGATTCGAATGAGTTAAACCATTCGACCACAAAAGAAAAAACAGGATTGACTAAGGAAGTTGAGCCGGCTCTTGAGAGGGTTGAGCCGTTGGGTCAACCCAAAGGGGTTGTTCTTTAAAAACTCACGTGACTAGGCGTTCGTTTGATGCCAGGCCTAATGTGTTGAATGGACCTTCTCAATTAGTAAAGCTCATCACTGGGCCTACTAAAAGTGGCCCATTTATTAAGAAGTCACATGTTCCCCTAAAGCCGCACGTGACTGAGGTTGGCCCGATGATAGACGATGCCGTTCGTCTAGCACCTTTCCTATCGAGCTCCTCCAAGGCGGAAAAGATGTGGAACCAGAGAACTGACTCGTTACAGTGGGCTCCCTCTAAGAAACTCTCTCGTCCATCCCAAGACTGTCACAACCCCAGGTCTGCTCGACGTAGAGATCTTGAGAACCTTGAAGAGAATCTGTCATCAGAAGCTGAGGGCGACTTAGATTCTAACTTTGAAGACATTGTTAGCACTGGAAGCGGGAATCTACAAGCCGCAAAAGATTTGCTGGAAGATGAGAGTTTAAACGTAGCTACTCTTTTCCTAGAAGAGGAAGCTTTTGCATCAGAAGGCTCTGGAAATGAGGAACGTAAGAGTGTGGATGTTGAGGTTGAACAATCAAGGACTTTAATAATTGTTGTGTCACATAAGGGTAAGGTGAACCTAGCAGCAACTATAGATGATGATTAGGGTACAACTACTCTGGCAAGTGACAACCAAATCCTTTCCAGAAAATCAGCTTTTAAAGACGTTCAATTTGGAGGAGCAGGAACCATCTTTGTAGGTTTATAAAGAGGCACACACATAGGATAACCTAGTAAAGGCTTCTTTGGACACACGGGTTGACAAAGTGTTGATTGAACTAAGTACACATCCATAACTAAATCAGCTAGAGGGAATGGTCCTTGTCCAGAATTCTATTTTTGATACCCCAACACAAGTCGTAGCCCATTCATCTCCTGCCAGGCCAGGTATGTTTGTCCATTCGGGGTTTGATACTAGCTTGGGTTCTATGCTTGAAGTAGGTACCTCGACCCAATTGGACAGAACAATTGGAGGTGAGGGAGTGGAGGTGGAGGGGGTTGAATTTGAAATAGAGGAAGGAAGTTCTTTATTGAGAAAAAAGACAGGTGGAGGAACTAGAGAGCATTTGGGAGCAAATCTGTGTCTTGCCAGAAGAGTATAAGCAGAAAGAAGATCAATTGCAGGCAACACCAAAAAAGTCAGAAGGCATAGAGACCATTTGTAGTGAGAAGAAAGGCTGAGGAAAAGTCAAGATTGCAGGAGAAGAACCATTTAATAAAAGCAAGAAGAAAAAGAAAAGATCAAAAGTAGAAAGACTACTCTTAGACATTGAAGGGGATTTAAAATTCAGTGGAAGAGGAGAGAGGAGGAAGGCTCCTAAGTGAAGGACAGAGGGTGTTTGGAGGGTGCCATTCTACAACTGTGTTGATGAAGATCATTACTTGGAATGGGAGAGGTCTAGGAGGCGTGAGGAAAAGAAGGTTGATAAAGGATTTGTTAAGGAGGGAAAGGCCTGACATTGTATTGATACATGAAATCAAACTAACATATCTAGATAGAAGATGGATTAGAAGTGTGCCGAAGGCAAGAGGTGTGAATTGGTGCTCAACTCCCTCTTGGGGAGCCTCTGGGGGTATTGTTACTCTTTGGAGAGAGGATGTGGTAGAATCATTACAGGAACTGATAGGTAGTTTTTTTGTCTCTTTAAAGTTAAGGATGGTGGAGGGTGGTTTTACTTGGGTGTTAACCAATGTGTATGGGCCGAATAATTATAGAGAGAAATGAATTGTGGGAAGAGCTGAAGAGCTGAAGAGCTTCATGGGATTTATGGGTTATGGGAGGGTCCTTGGTGCTTGGGTGGAGACTTCAATGTAATAAGGTTCCTAAATGAGTCAAACAATCCTCAACAACCTATCACAACTAGCACAAGGAGGTTCAATGACTTTATCAATAATTGTGATCTAAAGGAATTCCCTTTGCTACAGGCCAACTTTACTTGGTCCAACTTCCAAGAGAATCCGTCTTGCTCAAAATTAGACAAGTTCCTTTTCAATGAAAGCTGGGAAGCACACTGGAGGGGTTTGGTGGCTAAAGCTTTGCCTAGAGTTACCTCATACCATTGCCCTATAGCGTTAGGTCAAGAAACTTTTGGGTTTGGACCTAGACCTTTTAGGTTTGAAAACATGTGGCTATTGGCTAACACACTTGGACTTGTGCCTAAGGTTGAGGAATGGTGGAGAGAAGAAATTAGGGGTGTGAAGTGGAAAGGGGTGAGGTTCCATAAGAAATTAAAAAGTTTGAGATCTAAATTAGAAGATTGGAATAGGGAGGAGTTAGGTAGATTGGAAGAGCTAAAGCTAAGTTGTCAACCCAAATTGAGGATCTAGATTCAAAGGAGTATCAAATGATCATGACTGTACAACAAATGCCTTTGTAGATGCTTTGGCAAAGCAGGGTGTAGGAAGGGTTCATTTGTACTGGCCTATATTGTGAGCTTGTTGTTGCTTTATTGGGAGGGTTAAGCCTTTTTAACTCTCTCTGATTGTTGTACTGTTGTTCATATATTAATTTAATGGAAGTCTTTTATTGATAAAAGAAATGATCATGAGTGTACAAGAAAGAGAATTGAGATGGAAGTTGAAGAAAGAACTAGAAGAAGCCTTCTTGAGGGAAGAAATCTCTTGGAGGCAAAAATCTATGCATAAGTGGATCAAGGAAGGGGATAGGAATACCAAGTTTTTTCATGCTTTGGCCAATGGGAGGAGAAACGATTTTGTGGCTAAGCTTGAGGTTGAAGGAGTGGAAATTGATTCCCAAGAGGAGATAACCAACTGTTTTGCAGCCTACTTCAAATCAATTCTGAGTAAACCTTTGGGGAGTCGGGTGAGAGTGGAGGATCTAGAATGGCCAAGTTTATCTACCTTAGAGATGGGTTGGCTGGAAAGAAACTTTGAAGAGGAGGAGGTAAGACAAACTGTTTTCTCTTTGGATAGATCCAAGGCGCTTGGACATGATGGATTCACTATGGCCTTTTATTAGACTATTGGGACATTATTAAAGAAGACTTGTTTGAGGTTTTTAGGGAGTTTGAAAACAACCATTGTTATTAGTCATGAGGTCAATGCCACTTTCTTAGCTGCAAAACATCCTAAAGATTTTAGGCCGATTAGTTTGGTGACCAACATCTATAAGATTGTGGAAAAAGTGCTATCGTTGAGACTCAAA